CTGACGCGCCTTATCAGCCCTTATCAATTGTTATCAGTTTCTGGCACCCACCAACAATGTCCCCGTCCCACCCCACATGACACTTGTAAGTATGGATGCTCTGGTGTCAACGCGAGCTGGTAACGGAATCGACGACTTTTGCTTTTCTGCTTGTAGGGAACATTGTTGGTGGGTGCCAGAAACTGATAACAATTGATAAGGGCCTGATAAGGCGCGCCAGAACGCTGAAGTCGTCAATTCCGTTACGCAGCGTTGACACTAGAGCGTTCCTACTTACAAATTGTAGTACGTGCACATTGTTTCGATATGACCAGCTTACTTAATAGAAGTCGATTGCATAAACTCAAACAAGTCTTCAGCAAATGATAAGTTTCATTTCTGATGCAATATCAAGAAACCCAAACTCATTAAACCGCTAATCCTTTCGGGGTTCTAAATAATGGTGAATGTAAATAAACCAGTTTGCCTCCGCTCGCTACCGCGTGCATGTCAAAGTAGGCTACAGTAAACTGGAATAAGCGGGTTCTTCTATTAAGCAACAGCCATGCATTTGATGCATTTGACTGATGTTATTAAAGAAGAATCTCTCATAGGGTAATATCCACAATATCCATCATTTTCCAAAAGTTAGCACGGTCTAGCGGCCGATTAGGCTCGGAAATAAGCGGTCGAAAGGATGCTGATGAAGACATCGCTGATAGAATGAGGCGGTTCCCTTATCGCGCCTTATCCTTACTATCTGTAGATTTAGTCTGCAGACTTCTCCATTTTCGCTCTTATCAGTCCTAATCAGTTGTCATCTCGCTTTGTCACCCACCAAATTTTTTCCGTCCCAATCCTACATCATATCACATCATTATATGAACCAGAAGTTTGGTGTGTCAGTTTGTTTGTGTCTGCACGTCCACAAAACGGTCGACTGGAGGCGAATGATATCGGGACTGTGATACCACTTTCTCTAGCAGTATAAGAACAACCACGCACACTACGCAATCGAAATCGAAATGCTAGGCTAGACCTCGAGTTAGCTTTTGACATTCGATGATAGAAGATAGAAGATAAACACTATTTCGAGGTGGCTCAGAGGTCCATTTATACACATAATGGAGGCACCACAATCAATACTCCGCTTCTCCTGTCTTCTCGGTCTCATAGTTTTATTGACCATTATCCAAAAATGACTTAATCATGTTATGTATTTTGTGGTCTGATATTGTTACTTCAGGAGGGTATTTTGCCCTAACTGTGAATTAGCGGTCGTTCGGTGCAGCCGAGTCATACCCCAAGAAGGAGAAGAGCCTGGCTAGGCGATTCGACTAGTTTATAAAAAAAGTTTCCAAGATTAGTCTTTATTTTCGTCTTCTACCAATTTTGCATGTTAAAGATTTTGTTATCACTTTCATCAAGATATTCTCAGCGAATGATTCCCGATCTAGCTATGACGAGACAGTGGAATTGGTATCCTGAAATGCCAGACTCAGTGGTTGGATTTGTTGTTGCATAATTACTTACAGTTGTACAATATTTTGTCAAATAAACATCGCAGTTTCACTGTTTGTGTACTATTGTTCTCGGTTTTTAGCCTCATTCCGCATCCAACTTTTGTAGAAACGAGCATCTGACAACGAAAATGTGCAAAATTTGAAACTGGGTTTATGTCGCTGTACATGGTTGTGACCAATAGAATTCGTGGCGGGGCATCACCTACCTCCTCAGAAAATACGTTATCAATAGCGTCGAACAACGTTTTTCCAAGCAGCCTTCGACTTTTCTGAATATCACAGTCGTTAATAATATGTATGCTAAAGTGGAGTGTCAGTGTTTAATGGAAGATTTATCGTCTTTTCTCACTCTTCACTTTGAGAGGCCTCATAAACATAGAAATAACACATAAAATAACACATAAATAGTGATAGATAAGTGAAACCTTTCGATACTGAAGCCAGAGTGGACAAAGTCGTCCAAAAACGCCTCCTTCGCAAGTCCGCAATCGTACTCCTATATGGAAGTTCAATCATTTCTCAGAAGCTTTATTTAACGGGTGCTGACATCATTTTCTGTTTTAGTCTATATTTTCCTTGAGCTCCCACCCCAAAATCTTAAATGAGCGGATAGACGCGCAGCGTGAGACGGTAGCCTTAAAAATTTCATGCGGTTTGTTAACGCATGGCACAGGGTCAAAAACGTCACTAACAAGCGAAAAACTAGCATAACGGTGTTTTGCAAGATTGAGCCCTCGGTAAGCTCCTGCTTTGAGGACCAGATCTGTAGTATTCTTCCACCACTGAACAGGTTGCCACATAATGCGTTCATGCTCGGTGATAGTAAAAGTGATATATTATCATGAATGCTTCGGCTGTAGGCATGGGATATGGTTACTCACTAAGTTTTCAAAGTTCCTTTCGTTGATAATATTTTATTGCGTCGGTTGTTAATAGAAGCAAGCACCACGCTCAGAATTTGATCAGGAATATTTCTCCTACACTTGTATTCTGAATAAGGATATTCTATTCTTCAATAAAGGAGATGAAAAGAGACAAGCTCAGACAAGTGCAGGGAAGCAAACCTTCAGCTTGTCCTTCGGAAAATGCAAGGCAGGAACATATCTGGAAAGCTACATTGTTTATTGTAGAAGTAGACGCTCGTTTCGTTCACTTTACGCTTACATTTTGCTAACAACTCTTCCTCTTGGCATGCTTCAACAATTCGACAAAGCTACTTCTGACTCGTTAAGAAACACATTCGTTGCTCGAAGAATAACTACAGTGAAACGTACCACAGAAAGGATTAACAGGTGCATATTGCAACAAGCGAGGAATATGCCTTAGCCAACAAATGCGTTCGATGTGCTGTTAGAGGGAGGTCTGCTTACATATGGGATTTCTCCATGGTCGTACAACCTTTGTTTTCCCACCTGTACAATGCAGTGGGATAGGTCATCCAAACATGGAAGCTCACCATGAATATTCTGAGAAGTGTGTTGTTTTAAACTGCTTTTTCAAAGGAGTCAGCTCGATATACTTGTTGAATACCATAGCACTTTACCAATAATTCAAATCCTACAGCTCCAGTGATCCCGCACGCGGAAACGAGAACTTTGGAACCATGCAGCGTTGCATTCAATACTTATCCGAAATATTTCGGAGACCCCACGAAAAAACAGAAAAAGAGGTCGCTTTCAGTTGAGTTAGAGTGTACTTGTCTGTGGATGGAACGCATTTCCAATTAGCGTCTCCAAGAAATGTAAGAGGCAGAATTTGTAGTATCAATATGTATTCGAGTTTACGCATGGCCTTGTGAACTCTTGTGTGTGTATGCGTGAAGAGTCCCAGGTGATTTTCCTAACGGCATAGGGTGCTCTAAATCATCAATGTTTCCCGACAGTCGCGCTGTGAATTACGCAAGATGAGTAGTCGGGGAAAATGTACGACTAGCGCATGCCGGTAGACGTGTTTAACACCTACCAGGTTTGCTCCACCCGCGTCGTTCGGTGTTTTTGTAGCCATTGTCGGTGTTATCACAATCACCACATCAGGTCAGACGTCAACATGAATATAGACCTTACTCTTAAAACGGTCGTTCTCTCTCAGTCTCTCTTCCCCACCTCCCCCTCCCTATACCCTCCTCTCCGGCGCATGACAGCGCCATGTTCTCCCTCCCTTTCTCCTCTTCCCCTTCCCTCCCTCTTTCTCTCTCTCCCCTCCTTCCAGCCTCCCTTTCTTGCCCCCTTCCCTCTACCCCTTCCACCCCCCCCGCTCATCCGGCTGCCACGGCAGCACCATGTAGAATGAGACTGAGTGTGCTCGATCGGTGTTTATATAGCCGCTGTGGGTTTATCATGATCAACATCACGAAGTGTTGCCCTTCGTACTCCCTGGTTTTTTGTGAGCGTGGTCCGGACGGACAGAACGACACATACACATACACATACACATACACACACACCCCGACAAACCGACACACTAAACTTCTGGTTTATATTATGAAGTGATAATAGGGAGATTTTGTATGATTTCGTCCTAAAAAAGCGCAGTACCTAGCGCTGAGCAGCAGTGTCTAATATGCGGAGAAAAAAGATTCGCCAACATTGAGCGGACCTCTTATTAATGACTGGTGCCTATGACGAAAACTCGTTAATCATTTCTGAGACAGTTATAGGGTTGAAACATTTTGGCAGTTGCCAGCAGTGAGCAGAATAGAAGGAGCTCGTATATTCACCTAACACAGGGTGCGCCAAAGTTACAGCAGCAGTGATTTCGATTCGTCTAGAACTAATATGCCCTATTCTGAGAAACGAAAATGCAGTAACGTTCACTGGTCAATCGCGAATATTAACATTTACAAAATCGCAAAATTCCTCCGTTGGCATATACACAGGCCTTGAGAAGAAATGAGAAATAATCAAGTGGGGCACGCAATGTAGTACGCGGGGCTCATCCTACACATTTTGAAACGAGCAAGGAATAGGATGGCTACTTGCTCGCTAAGAAGTCCAAAATCACGTCTTTCATGTCGTTCTCGTGACGTCAGGCGAACAGTGCAAGCCAAATGCCTGCAAATTTCACAGCTGACATGCCATGCTGACACTGCTCATGGCCGTCACAAAAGAAATGTGTTCTCCACATACAGACGACTTGCGGTTCCTTATTCCTTATACTGGATACATTCCTTGAGTAGCCATGAGCACTTACACGTCGAAGTGAGCCCCAAAAAGCATTTAAAGATATGGGGTTTGCAAGGTCTCTATTTGGCAAAAATGCGCATCTAGTTTTGTCGTCCTTTTCATCTCATACTACACTAAAACATTTGAGAAATCCTGAGCAATATTTTCGAACTTCTGATAACAATAGATGTCGTTATCGTTCATCAGTCGGCTTTTCAGTATTTGTTCCTGTGCACCAGTTCGTTTGCCACTGATAAGCCATTTTTCAAAACACATCATAATGTTTTAGGCATATTGGAAAACCGAAAGAGGAGGCTCAGTAACGAAAATTGGCTTGGAGAATCAATGTGTAAAGCAAATGAGATTCACTACTGAAAAAATATGGTCACGGGCTGAGAAAATGTAAACAATGTTGAATGGTTGTTTGCATTACAACCAAAGTGAGACCTTTTTTTCGGCTTCGGCAATTCGGCTCAGAATTTGTTAGGAACGATTCACGCAGCTGCTCACACAACTTCGCCCCCATGTTGAGCCTCAATTTTACCCTTTTCGAAAACACCACTTAATATACTCGAGGCTTTTGCCGTATTGCTTAATGAAGAACTAACAGCAAGTGAGCAACTAGCATTCGTTTACTAAAATTGATTTTAATGGAGTAACTGCTCTCGAACCACTATTTTCGGTGGCGTGCCATGTTAGACTGACTTATTCCGCGCAGTCGTTCAAAAAAAGCAAATAAATCATACACATCCATAGTTAACTCCCCTATAAAAGCAGACTGCATTCTAGCGGTGTTATGTCGGTAGCCGTACAGAAGATGCAGCTTTATTCGGAGTTCATAAACTAAACCATACTGAAGTCAGAGGCTTATATAGGGGAGATGTTTTCGAGAGAACTCGAAAACAAGTGATACAAAAGAGATCATTTATTGTTCATCCATAACATCTCCCCTTTTTTTTAAATGAACACGAGATCACAATGTATCAGGTAGAGTATGTCTTCTGACGTGGATCCAGTTGAAGCCGTGCTGGAGGCCTGCTCATCCGTGTCGATCTTCTTGGTTGATTGAGATTAGCCCGTGTTCTTGACTGGTCCCCGTCTTGTCCATGTGAGCCTGCCGTCGGCTGCAGTGGAGCTGGAGACTCGTGATTCAGATCAAACATTTCGAATAATGTTTCCATATCATCTTGTTCGGAGGTATCTTCATGGTAGCGAAGCCGGAGTTGATTTGCATGTCGAACACAAGTTTCCTTTCCAATGAGAACTTTGTAGAGTACTCTTCCGATTCGTTGAAGCACTTTACCATTACGCCATCTGGAATGGTTTCCACTGTACTGGCGTGCTAGCACTAAATCTCCTGTGCTGAAAGTACGTTTCTTAGCGCCATGCTGCTTATTGAATTGTGATTCCATCATCGTGTTGTGTCTTGAGGTCCGCTGTTGAAGTCGGCTTGAGCAGCGAGAGTACGGTTCGCAATTTTCTGGCGATCTTGTCGCTGACTGTCGATTTGGTAATATTGAGTGCAGTTGAGTGTTCGGGATGGAGGGATGGGGTGCAAGGAAGGGAGTCCATGATGCGGTAGATTCCTAGCTTCGAAATCCATTCTGCACCTAGTAGGTTTGGTTGGGTACGACCAACGTAGAATAGTCCTTGTGCCGATTTTGAATTGAAACTGTAGTTGCACTCACACTGACCGAGGAACTGGATACGATTGCCTGATGCGCTGTGCGCGATGAGTGACGAAGGTTGCAATTGAGGTTTGCCCATAACATTCCATGTCGCTTCATTGATATATAGTGATATCAGCGGCAGTGTCTACCTGGAATTGAATGGGTTTGTTGTTTACCAGAATTGTTGCAAATCGGCGGTAGCTGTTATCCTTGCTTGATACGGTGAAAACAGCATCTGATCGCGTGGTCGAGTTCATGGGACGATGGTTGTTGTGTGTCGGGCGGTGTGGTCGTTTTCTTGAATTGCAGAATCCTTCCTTATGTCCTGTCCTGCGACAGACTGAGCATTTTGGTGTC